ATTAAGTCCATCTTATTTAATGTATCATTTAAAGCTTGTGTTTCCTTTTTTATTTTCATTTTGGATGTCCTGTCCATTGTTAACCAATGGGGTGTAAACCTCCCATACTATGAATGTGTTACTGTTGATTTCCCCTATTATGGCTGTTAGTATTTGCCTTATGTATTGAGGTGCACTTTTATTGGGAGAATAAATATTTACAATTGTTATATTGTCTTCTTGGATCTCTCGCTTGATCATTATGTAGTGTCCTTCTTTGTCTCTTGTAAATGTCTTTATTTTGAAGTCTATTTTGTCTGATATGAGAATTGCTACTCCAGCTTTCTTCTGATTTCCATTTGCACGGAATATCTTTTTCCATCCCCTCACTTTCAGTCTGTATGTTTCCCTAGGTCTGAAGTGGGTGTCTTGTAGACAGCATATATATGGTCTTGTTTTTGTATCCATTATGCCAGTCCATGTCTTTTTGTGGGAGCATTTAATCCATTTACATTTAAGGTAATTATCAATATGTTTGTTCCTATTCCCATTTTCTTAATTGTTTTGGGTTTGTTCTTGTAGGTCTTTTCCTTCTCTTGTGTTTCCTGCCTAGAGAAGTTCCTTTAGCATTTGTTGTAACGTTGGTTTGGTGGTGCTGAACTCTCTCAGCTTTTGCTTGTCTGTGAAGATTTTAATTTCTCCATCAAATCTGAATGAGATCCTTGCTGGGTAGAGTAATCTTGGTTGTAGTTTTGTCTGCTTCATCACTTTAAATATGTCCTGGTACTCCCTTCTGCTTTGCAGAGTTTCTGCTGGAAGTTCAGCTGTTAACCTTATGGGGATTCCCTTGTGTGTTATTTGTTGTTTTTCCCTTGCTGCTTTTGATATTTGCTCTTTGTATTTAATTTTTGAAGTTTGATTAATATGTGTCTTGGCGTATTTCTCCTTGGATTTATCCTGTATGGGACTCTCTGTGCTTCCTGGACTTGATTAACTATTTCCTTTCCTATATTAGTGAAGTTTTCAACTCTAATCTCTTCAAAGATTTGCTCAGTCCCTTTCTTTTTCTCTTCTTCTTCTGGGACCCCTATTATTCGAATATTGGTGCATTTAATGTTGTCCCAGAGGTCTCTGAGACTGTCCTCAGTTCTTTTCTTTCTTCTTTCTTTATTCTTCTCTGCAGTAGTTATTTGCAGTATTTTATCTTCCAGGTCACCTATCCGTTCTTCTGCCTCAGTTATTCTGCTATTGATCCCTTCTAGAGTAGTTTTAATTTCATTTATTGTGTTGTTCATTGTTGCTTGTTTCCTCTTTAGTTCTTCTAGGTCCTTGTTAAATGTTTCTTGCATTTTCTCTATTCTATTTCCAAGATTTTGGATCATCTTTAGTATCATTATTCTGAATTCTTTTTCATGTAGACTGCCTATTTCCTCTTCATTTGTTAGGTCTGGTGATTTTTTGCCTTGCTCCTTTATCTGCTGTGTGTTTTTCTGTCTTCTCATTTTGCTTATCTTATTGTTTTTGGGGTCTCCTTTTTGCAGGCTGCAGGTGTGTAGTTCCCATTGTTTTTGGTGTCTGTCCCCAGTAGCTAAGGTTTGTTCCGTGGGTTGTGTAGGCTTCCTGGTAGAGGGAACTAGTGCCTGTGTTCTGGTGGATGAGGCTGGATCTTGTCTTTCTGGTGGGCTGGTCCACGTCTGGTGGTGTGTTTTGGGGTGTCTGTGAACTTATTATGATTTTAGGCAGCCTGTCTGCTAATGGGTGGCATTGTGTTCCTGTCTTGCTAGTTGTTTGGCATAGGGTGTCCAGCACTGTAGCTTGCTGGTCATTGAGTGAAGCTGGGTCTTGGTGTTGAGATGGAGATCTCTGGGAGATTTTTGCCATTTGATATTACATGGAGCCGGGAGGTCTCTTGTTGACCAGTGTCCTGAAGTTGGCTCTCCCACCTCAGTGGCACAGCCCTGATGCCTGGCTGGAGCACCAAGAGCCTTTCATCCACATGGCGCAGAATAAAAGGGGGAAAAAGTAGAAAGAAAGAAAGAAAGGAAGAAAGAGAATAAAATTAAATTAAATTAAAATAAATTTATTAAAATAAAAAATAATTATTAAGAAAAAAAATTTTTTAAGTAAAATATAAAACAGACAGACAGAATCCTAGGACAAATGGTGAAAGCCAAGCTATACAGACAAAATCTCACACAGAAGCATACACGTACACACTCACTAAAAGAGGAAAAGGGGAAAAAATAATATATCTTGCTCTCAAAGTCCACCTCCTCAATTTTGGATGATTTATTGTCTGTTCAGGTACTCCACCGATGCAGGGTACATCAAGTTGATTTTGGATATTTAATCCACCTCTCCTGAGGCTGCTGGGAGAAATTTCCCTTTCTCTTCTTTGTTTGCACAGCTCCTGGGGTTCAGCTTTGGATTCGGCCCCGCCTCTGCGTGTAGGTCGCCTGAGGGCGTCTGTTGTTCGCTCAGACAGGACAGGGTTAAAGTAGCAGCTGATTCGGGGGCTCTGGCTCACTCAGGCCAGGGAGAGGGAGGGGTACGGATGTGGGGAGAGCCTGAAGCGGCAGAGGCCGGCATGACGTTGCAGCAGCCTGAGGCGCACCATGCGTTCTCCCGGGGAAGTTGTCCCTGGATCGCGGGACCCTGGCAGTGGCGGGCTGCACAGGCTCCCATGAGGGGAGGTGTGGAGAGTGACCTGTGCTCGCACACAGGCTTCTTGGTGGCAGCTGCAGCGGTCTTAGCGTCTTATGCCCGTCTCTGTGGTCTGCGCTGATAGCCGTGGCTCACGCCCGTCTCTGGAGCTCCTTTTAGCTGCACTCTTAATCCCCTCTCCTCACGCACCAGGAAACAAAGAGGGAAGAAAAAGTTTCTTGCCTCTTAGGCAGGTCCAGAGTTTTTTCCAGACTCCCTCCCGGCTAGCTGTGGTGCACTAACCCCCTTCAGGCTGTGTTCACGCTGCCAGTCCTCTCCCTGTGATCTCACCGAAGCCCGAGCCTCAGCTCCCAGCCCCGCCCGCCCCGCCGGGTGAACAGACAAGCCTCTTGGGCTGGTGAGTGCTGTTCAGCACCGATCCTCTGTGAGGGAATCTCTCCGCTTTACTCTCCACACCCCTGTTGCTGCACTCTCCTCCATGGCTCCAAAGCTCCCTCCCTCCACCACCCACAGTCTCCGCCAGCAAAGGGACTTCCTAGTGTGGGGAAACATTTCCTCCTTCACAGCTCCCTCCCACTGGTGCAGGTCCCGTCCCTATTCTTTTGTCTCTGCTTATTTTATTTTATTTTGCCCTATCCAGGTACGTGGGGAGTTTCTTGCCTTTTGGGACGTCTGAGGTCTTCTGCCAGCGTTCAGTGGGTGTTCTGTAGGAGTTGTTCCACGTGTAGATGTATTTCTGATGTATCTGTGGGGAGGAAGGTGATCTCCGCGTCTTACTCTTTCGCCATCTTCCCCCTCACCTCCGGTTATAACATTTTAATTTATATTTTTAAGTAGGGCACAGTGGAATGGGACATGAGAGATCAGCCCTTTTCCTTTTCTTTTGTCTCTTCAATCTTTTCTCCTACTCCCTAATTAATATAAATTGCTTCCTTCTTTTCTTCCCTTACTCCTCTAAAGTCAGAAGTGAGAGCAGATGGTAGTGTGGTTGGAATAGATAAATGTGATCAACAGTGAGGGAGAACCTGTCTTAGTCACTTTTTTCTTTCAAAAATACAAAATGTATGCTTTAAATTGAGAATTATAATCACTTCACAAAACTGCATTAAAAAAAACATGTATGTAGAAAGTTTATGTACAAATATTTTATGCTGTAGGGATTGTAGCAAAATTAATACATTTTCAAGCATATTTTATATTTCCTCCAATTTATTTTATATATTTTTTAGCTTTGCTCTATAGGCTTAAGTAGGGGTGATGGTTTATTTCTTGAATGTATGATGGTTTTTATGAGGAATGGAAAAAGCCTTAATTGGCAATGGCAAATAACCTAGAATCCCTGGGATTATTAATAGTTTGGACAATTATTATTTTCAGTCAATCTCAATTAAACTTTCCATCGTTATATTTAATGTGTTAAATATTTAATAAACTTTTACTTTAAGAATTTGCTACACATAAAAAAACATACTAAACTTTGCAAGACTCCAAATATTAAAATAAATGTACCATCTCTCTGAACAGTTAACTAAAAATAATCTAGCTTAAAGTCATATTAGTGTTTTCTAATAATATGGGTTGTAAGATCTAAATAAAGAAACGTATAAGAAAAATCCCTTTGTGTTATGTATTCTATTAAGATTTACTATATTTAATTTCTGTGAAAATAATTACTTGTTTAATTATTTTATGGAGTTTTCTTTTTAGTTTAAGTGCTCAATGGTATGATGATGTTCAGTAGTTTATGATCATTAACACCAGAAGGACTCTTCTTTTTTTTTTTGCGGTACGCGGGCCTCTCACTGCTGTGGCCTCTCCCGCTGCAAAGCACAGGCTCTGGACGCGCAGGCCCAGTGGCCATGGTCCATGGGCCCAGCCTCTCCGCGGCATGTGGGACCCTCCTGGACCGGGGCACGAACCCGTGTCCCCTGCATCGGCAGGCGGACTCTCAACCACTGCGCCACCAGGGAAGCCCAGGACTCATTTTTTAAATATAATTGTTTAAAATTTTCTGATGCATTAAGAATAAATTCAGAATAAAATATCATTTGTTATTATAATCTGTCTAAATTCTGGAGTAGACTTAATTGCAATAGTAGAATTAGTTGCAATAGTCAAATAGTACAATAGAATTTCACGTGAAGTTATTACATTGTTTTCCTCATTATAAAGTCTTCCTAGAGAATTCATATTCTATTGATTTCACACCCCTTTCAATAATGTGCTAGATGGATTGAATCATTTGCATGGCTTGGACATATTATTGTTCTATATTTCTGCTCCAAAGAAAAGAACCCATTTTGAGTGATATGTGGCTTTTTTATTTTTTTCCCCTTTCTTTCTTTCTTTTTTAATAGATCTTTAGTGAGTTTGAGATTGAGCAGCATCAAGAATGTGCTTATGATCATTTGGAAGTATTTGATGGAGAAACGGAAAAATCACCAATTCTTGGACGACTGTGTGGGAACAAGATACCAGAGCCCCTTGTGGCTACTGGAAATAAAATGTTTGTTCGGTTTGTTTCTGATGCATCTGTTCAAAGAAAAGGCTTTCAAGCCACACATTCTACAGGTCAGTAAATTAGGGGATGCTTCTCTTTTCTGAGTAAGATCCAAGTTTCTCTTCTAGTGTGTGCAGGGGATCTATAACAGGATTATAAATGAATCAGAAGAAGTCTCACTGAAGCACTGTGTGAAATATTTGAGAACCACATAGCATCCTAACTAAATATCTTTGTAGCTGTTGAACTAATTAAAAGAAGCACAATAGTTTGATCTGATTCATGTTCAGTGTGGTATGATCAAGAAGAACTATCTCTAAATATTTATGTAGTGTATTCCATGTTAACTTTAGCAGTTTGATTTATATGTTATATTTAACAGATAGAAATCTATAGCTTGGAATTCAAAAATTTTGTTTTTGCTAAAATCCTACTTGTTTAGCTAACTTTCACATTAATATATTTTTGTAAACCAAATTTGGAATTTAACTCTCTGTTTTACAGAGGTTTTTTTTTCCCCCTTTTATTTGGTAGGCAACACAATCTTTTCCCTAATCCTAATCCCTAATTTGACTCTTACAGATTCCAGCTGTAATGGAAGTCTTTAAGAAATAAAATACAATTTAGAAAAATATGGAAAATTTTAAGCAAAAATGTCAAATAACTTTTTTATAATTTGGATCAAATTTATAATATATTCCATAAATGTCCAGTAAATATCCTTTTTTTATTCAGTTAAAAAAAAGAATCAATCATATTTACTGAAATCATTTAGCTTATAGTGACACCTAATGGCAGTTCTAATGCCAAAACTATTGAGACACAAATCTATCTTGGCGTAAAATGCAGTATAATAGGCTACAAATTCATCAATGAAACAATTTTAGTGCAGTAATTTTTGTCATGGTTTCCTGATTATTTTTTTCTCCTTTCCTTTTATTTTAGAAAACATAACTTTATTCCATTGTCCAATATTATTTTCCACTCTAGTATATTCTGTTATGAGCATTAGATTTATATTGAAGTCTATTTGTGAGAAAGTGGATATTGTCTGATTCATGCTAGTAATGACTGGACTCATAAATAATACAAAATAATTATTTCTCATGATTAATATAAATATTCTGGTTTGAGAAAAATCTTTCATGGATTAAAATTTTCATACTAATGAAGGATTTTTTTATACACTTGATGTTTGTTCTTTAAATATTTTCCTGATAACTTGTCACACATTGAAGGAATGGAAAAATTGGAGTCCTATGAATTGATCAATATTTTCCTGAAGCACAGAGTTAATGGCACAATTTTTTAAATAATCGTGGCTGTCACAGGTTCTAAGAATGAAGTGTAAAAGTATGTTATCAAAACTCTTGAAAGAGCTGATACACTATTTTTAAATTACTTACCTATAAATTCCTCTGTTGTAGTTTCATAAAAACCTACTTTTATAGTTTCTCTTTTCATCTTTACCTTTACCTTAAATCTCAAGTTTTCTTGCAGCTATATAACTCCATGACTCCTTAATTTTCATAGCCTCTGCTCTGGACCCATTTCAGTGTTTGTATTACCATTTAGAATCCACTGTTAGGATCTAATTATCTTATCATAGAGATCATATATTGAAATCCAATTGTATATGTAGCATGCACTTGATATTTCAGGCACATACATATACTTAATATAAATTACATACATTGAGTCCTCAAAAGAGCTATATGATGTATGAATTATTATCTTTATCTTCAGATAAAGAAATTTAAAATCTGAAGGATTAATTAATTTGCAAAGACTTCTAAAATTATATCAAAGCCTGGATTTTATCCTAATTCTGTTTCCAGTGCTCATGCACTTTCTACTATGGTATATTTTTTCTTAACATTTTGGATTAGGAAGGAAACCAATACAAAACTGGATCACTGTTAATTGAAACAATAGAGACTGAATGCTTCCTTATTTGTCTTAATCAAATCTTCTGTCCTAACTATCCAACTGAATAGGCTCATTTTTTCTCCCTGTTCAGTTCAAATCCAGTCAAATACCCACATGATCAACCTCAATCATAATTTGTAGGCAAAACATGATTCGTTCCTGTCATCTCAGAAATGAGGATTTTGAGACTAAGACTCAAATGAAACCGAAGTAGCACAAAAAATAATAGTTAGAATTAGAGTCCTAGCCTCCCAACTCCTGCTCAGTTGTGCTAGTCAAAATTTTTGGCATTACCTGTTTGTTTGTTTGCTTGTCTATTTTACATGTAAATTTTTGCTCTCACTTAACCAGCTGTCTTTGAATTTTCTGGGTAGATTTTATTTACACTGTTACTTTTAAGTAGCCATACATGCTGAAATATTCTTATGTACTGCTTACTATTTATTTCTTTTGAAAGCTTTCTCTTTAACAAGTTTATTCCATAGTCTTTCATGAAATATTTATTTGGTACCTGCTTTGAATAGACACTGTAAAGTATTAGTAATTCATAGCAAAAAATTAGGAATTTTGTGGTAACTTATGAGAAAACAGAAGGAATTCCTGCCTTTTGACAGCTATAATCTGATAAGTTAAACTTATGATTTTCAGTCAGTTTTTACCACCAAGACAGCCAAGTTCCGTACCACATCTGTCAATTTCTGCTAAATGTATAAAGCATTTATTCATTATTTAATTTTTTCTAGAATACATGTAACTTTTATTAAGGGGCCCTGAAGTATACATTTTAATTTGCTTGAGTAAATTTATATTTCTATATACAATTTTAATTTTATCCACAAGGAAAGCTTATAATACTACAAATTTTGAAATTAGGTGAAGAGAAATATTAATATTGCTTTATAGCTATTTTTTTTTACAAGTAATACTATCCAAATCAATGGGAAATGGACTTTGTTGGAAAAAGTCCCTTTTTCCTCTAAAGGTAGGTCCAAATTCTAAAAGTCCAAATTTATTTTAATCAGGTAACAAATGGTGTTAGGCCAGCCTTAGATAAACTATTGAAGAAAAAAACTCAGTAAAAAAAAATAACCTATATATTCTCTCAGAGGATAAGGCTATAATACAGAAAAAGAGGGGGAGTATGGAGAGAAAGTATTTTAAAACATGGCATGTCAGGTAGGACTTTATTCTGCAGCAGAAAGCATCATCCTAATTTAAAAATCAAATAATATATTATTAGGCTCCTTAGAAATTATTTTGATAAAACTTAATTAAATTATAGTGCCTACTAAAAGCATTTATTGCTCAAATTATAGGCCCTCACAGGGATTTAACACTTTACCAGGAAATGAACAGAAGTCTTTCCAAATTAAAATGAGGGCCACCCTTTCTGAAACATTTTAAGTCACTCTTAATTGTAGTTTAAGTCATTTGTTTTGAGTATTGTCATTTTCTAGAAGTTTTCAATAAAATCAAATAATGATGCCTCACATTTCAGATTCACAAAGGCTTTGTGAAATCTCTTTTTGTTTAAATACTTCATTTCCTTCTTGATTTCTGTTCTGATCTGGGGTTGACAGAGAATTGTCTCCTCTGGATCCTGATTTGTTTTGCTACTTTGTTTCTCTGAAGTAGGCACACAGAAGCCAGTGCCTCTCCCATAGTCCACCCCTTCCTGGGTTGTGGAATAAAAGTAATACAAGTGCTGACAGTTGTAAACAAAACAAATCACTGAATTATATCAAACTTTGAGAATAAGTCAAATTTTTAAAATATCTGTAAATGAGATTACACTGGTTTATACATTTATATATTGAATTCAGAAATACTTTCACAAAATATTTTACTGGCCTTCAAAAATATAATCCTTCCTTTCTGAAAACAGGTTAATAGTGCTTTAAATTGTTTTTCAATTTTTCTGGCTTTTCTTTTCATGCCTGAGTGGATCTCTAGGAGTATAGATGGTGGCATTTAGATATTCTGACTAGAAAATAATAACAAAATGATGATTGTGTATACTTATATGGCTTTTCCTATGTGCAAGGTATCCTTCAATGATTTTACATATATTAGCCCATCACTCTTCATCTAGACCCTATCATTTGAGTATATGTATGATCCCCAATTTAGGAATGAAGTGGGGAACAAAATCCCACAGCTGATGAAGCGTAGAGCTCAGATTTGTACCCAGGCCAGTTAGCTGTGGAGTTCTGTCACACGGAGAGGACAATAATTCTTGGAATTACTGGAATAAGAGAAGCACCGTGGTGGGAAAGGAAGGATGCTTGCCTTCCAGTCTGTGACACTTAAGAGATGATTCCCAAGACTGATCAGTTTTGCAGCTTTCCAGAGTGGTTCTAAGCACATGTGTTTCTTCACATGTTTACATTTGTAATTGTGGCACCTACATCAATAGATTGTGCAAGACACCCCACCTACCATCTGGAAGACAAAGGGACATCATTTAACATGATGGGGAAGCCATTCTCATGATTGAAACCTTAGTTGGAAGTTCTTTCATAAGTTAGTCGCACAAAGGTCTCTGAATGTGCAGTTGTCTGTGAAAATGCCCATAGTTTTGGTTGAGCCTACTTGTATTCAGACACATCTAGATGGGGTTCCATCCTGGGAATTCAGAAATATTTTGTTACTTAAAATCACCAAACCACAATGTAGGTAAATTATATACAAATCTGAAAAATCTAAGAATTTTAGCTGTCCTAATTCACTTTCACTGGGTCCTGCCAAGGACAATCTGGTCACAGATGACCACACCAGGGTTACAATTGTGTTTTGATAACCAGAGGCTTAGCTGTCCAAATCTTTCCACATTGGATTTTTGTTTTTGTTCCCTCCCAACTCATATCAGTTTTCTTGGGACTTTCCTGGTTTTAGTACTGAAATTACTGTTTCCCAGGAACCTCTCAGTCATTGGCAAATAAGGGCAGAAAGAAACGCTACTTTCTCCTGACAATTTTCATATCCCTTTCTTTTTTTTCCCTACCCCCAGCCATATGTTTGTATATGTACTTGGTTGGAGGAGACATTGTAGACTTCCTCTACAATTTATTCTCTAGTCATTGTAAAATCTGGGGGCTCAGACTACAAAGAGTTCCTGAGAAAATTTTGAAAATTTGTATTCTCTAAATTACACTAACTGTAAACCTTATGCAGGCTTATATATTTCTTTGGTATATTTACCTCTAATTACAAAAGTAGTAACTGGTAAAGCCTATATTTATTAATATCTCTCTGAAAAAGCCATAAAAAGAGCATTTTAAATTCCTTTATTTATTAAAATCACAAAATATAACTGACAAGGTGCTGGAACTACAAAAATAACTACAATTAATGATGTGTGTATGCTTTTCCCAACCAAGTTAGATAAATATTTCTACCTAAGTAAAGTAATACTGGTCTGTATATTCTATGCAGAGAATTCTATATGACACATATACACATACAGGAGTTTTATATATTTTGCTGATCTTTAAGTTATTTCTTATTCCTTTGGATTCTGGGTTCTTAAATTATTAAGATTAAACTCAAATTAAGACACTGACCTTTTTTCCATGAAAACAGTTATTTAAGACTGAAAACAACATGAGATATAACAATAAAAAAATGCATTGAGAGTTACTATATGGCAGGTACTGTTTTAAGTGATTTTCATGTGTTAATCAAATCCTCAAAACCCACTAAGATTGGTACTATTATTATCATCTGCACTTTACTCTTGACCACTTTACCCTATGGATAAGAGAAGTGATGTCACTTATCCAAAGTCACTGAGCTAGTAGATATGGAGCTGAAATTCCAACCCAACAGTCTCTTTAGGGCCTATAGCAGTACCCACTATGCCATCTGAATCTTCAAATATAGGGAACATAACTGATGGTGGAAATGAATACAGAAGTTAGAGAGTGGTTAGACTATATTAAAAGAGAAATTTGAATTGTTAAACCTCATTGAGCTCACTTATTTCATTTTTCTTTCCTGGGCAGAGTGTGGTGGCAGACTGAAAGTGGAATCAAAACCCAGAGATCTGTACTCACATGCTCAGTTTGGTGATAACAACTATCCAGGACAAGTTGACTGTGAATGGCTGTTAGTGTCAGAACGGGGCTCTCGACTCGAGTTATCCTTCCAGATTTTTGAAGTGGAAGAAGAAGCCGACTGTGGCTATGACTATCTTGAGCTCTTTGACGGTCTCGATTCAACAGCGGTGGGGCTTGGTCGATTCTGTGGATCAGGGGTAAATACAGTACGAGCAGGATACCATAGACATGATAAAAATGCCTATAAATTGGTGATTGATATGTGTAACATATGCAAATCAGCAGTGCTTTTACAAAATGGCTTGACAAGTTATAACATGCCTCTTCTTCCCTTACTTCTCCATCTCTAATGAATTTGCTCAATAATATTGAACAAGACAGATGAATTCAATAGCTATAATTTCTTGTTACTGTCCACATCCTTTTTTAATTCATGTTTTTATTGTGCAATAAATATTTAAATGTTTAATTATCTAAAAGAAATATGCCTAAATACACACCTTTGACAATTTTGTAAGCTTCATAAATTAAAGCATAAAGCAAAAAGAATATGCACATCATTGGCATTCCTCTCTCAACAATATATTTGATAAGTGACAGTATCTACCATTGGTGTGGGGGTTTAGCTGGTACTATTGAATGTTGCTCCATTGCAGTGGGCACAGGATGGAGTACAAAACATAGGTCAGAGGTTGTCAACATGAGAAATAAGAAACAGGAAAGCTTAAGGTTTTCTCAATGCTTTTCCCCCACGATTCACTGCATTAATATCAAATGTTCATCTGAATACATACTTTGTTCTGAAGATATTAGTCCCATTTTTCAAATGTCTACCAGTGACCATTTCTTAAATAATATTGAACTCCTGTCCAAATAGCTACTGAAATGAAACAAAAATTATTCTTGGTACTTAGATTATTAAAGCAAGAAGGAATGGACGATTTGGATTCTGGAAGTGGCTCTGCCTCAGAGCACCTTCTGAAATAGATTTAATGTCCCTTTATCCTTTGTGAACCTCACTTTAATTACTTGTAAATCAAAGGAAATTGGCTTAAAATTTTGGGAAAAAACACCAAGTTTCAGAACTTGGAAGTAAAAATTATGTTCAAAGCTCAGCTATATCACTGATCAGGCTTGTGATCTTGAGCATGTCATCTGTTCTCTGAAACTCAAGTTTTCTCATCTGTAAAATAAAGTCACTCTTATCCACTTTTCAATGTTGTTGGGAGGTTTAAATTATATACCAAAAAAATTCCCAAACATGAATTACATTGAAGAAAAAATAATTCATTCTTGTTGTTTGTTTATTTGTTTTGTTTGTTTTTGTCTTCAGCCACCAGAAGAGACCTATTCAATTGGTGATACAGTTTTAATTCATTTTCACACTGATGACACAATCAGCAAGAAAGGATTTCATATAAGATACAAAAGCATCAGATATCCAGATACCACGCATACCAAAAATTAACACCATAACCTCCATCAAAACATAAAGGAATGGGCATAATGGAAAGAAGATGTATTTCTTTTTTAAATGAAGATTTTAGCACAAAGTTTTATATAATGAGTTTGAGCAGAAGAAAACTGCAAGACCAGAATTATCTTTGTACTAAAAGAGAAGTTTCCAGCTAACCCTGATCAACATTACCAGGATATCTGAACTTCATTCTTGACAGTATAAATATAAATAAAGTTGGTGAAAGGGCATCTCACGCTTCAAAGAAGACTTCACAATCCTTTGTTCACAGCTCACCATAGCTGCTTCACAATTCAGACAGTCCCATTCAGGGTCTGTGACCCTGCAGAGTGTCCGTTTTGACAATTTTTCAATATATGGGAAAAGTAAAATGACCTTGCAGGTCATAAACTGGAATACCCTCTCCTTGTATCTTAGGATAATTGCTTTGACTTTGGATCTTGAAGACAGTGTAAACCAGACCCATATAAGTTGTTGTGAAGTGGGAGTCTCTTGAGGGTGGTTTATACTTTAAATGTGGGTATGACCAATGCTTGGAAACTGGAATATTTCAGCTTCATTATTTTCACTTGCAGGCTAAATTTACCTCTTTGAAACATAAATGATCTCGAGACCACTTCCTTTTTGTGACATTCTGACAAGTTTGAAATGTCAATACTATCTATCATTGCAGTTAACTCTAGATATCATTTATTTAAGTGCTGGAAAATGCCCAGTTGATTGGTAAACTCAGTTCTTTCAATGAAAGTTCTGTCTTTTCATACCAAATTCAAGAAGACTTGTGATGTCTTATGAACTTGATGAGACAACTCCCAACAGGTGTGAACAGGATTCTTCTAAGCGACTGCCTGGATGGTTCATACTCAAGTTCCACTGCTGCTATTGTCTTTCTTTTGTTGTTGATCTGTTGTAGTTAATGTTGATGTTGTCATGGTTAATGTATTTTTTTTTAATGAAATGAAATGAAGTGGAAGTAGGCCTTGTTAGAATTGAAAGATCTCTTTCTTTCTCTTCCTAGAAATCAGTTTTTTTAAATGCAATGTTGAAAAAAAAAACGATTTGTTTCTGAAAGACTTTCCATGGTGCTATTCCATAAACATTTTTTTAAACAAAGTTTTTGACCTTTGAGCCAACCACCTGTAGACTATGAATGTCTCTGTCTGGCTGGTAGCACTTGAAGACTAAAGACTTAATGTATCAAGAGTATATCATTGCAAGGGCAACACTTGTCCTGTGGAACAACTGCTTATATTGCCTTAGAATTCTTTCACATGATCGAGCAGATCCTCCTAAGAGACACAACTTTTGAAAAGTTGAACATAATAGTGTATGTTAATTAGCATTTCTATGAGGAAAATCCATTTCTGTGACTGAGAACATTGGATATAAGTATGGTGACCTGCTTTTATGGTAGAAAATGAATTTTCTGCTTTAAAGGCAGGTTTTTAAAAAAATATTAATGTATGTATATGTGAGGTTGTCTGAATGAGTGGAGTTACAAGGAGGTGAAAAGTAGTGGGTGGTTGAAAAGTTTAAATTTACGTGCCAATTTCTACTAAAATCCTATTTAAAGTAGCACCTTTCATAAGACGTTTCATGGACAAATAATGGGAACTTCTAATTATTATTAACCCCATTTTAAAAAGGCTCCTTCCTTCAGAGAAACTCTATTTTCATATTTTTTGATATTGATATAGATTGCTATATGAAGTAGCTTTTGTTCTGTTACCTGTCCATGAACATTCAACATTTAATAAAATTGAGAATTTTTCTTCATTTTACAAAATTAAACTATACACACAGATTTAGCTTATTTGTTTTTTTTTTTGTCATTGTTGCCTTGGAAATCTTTTCTTGCATATGAATTTTATTATGTAAATACATTTTTAAAACCAATCTTTTGATCTTACTGAATGTTACTTTGGAAATGTATAACTAACGCCTGCAATATAATGAGCTTTTTAGTGGAGCTGATTTATTCCAGTAACTCTTCTATATTTTTGTTCACTAATCTCCAGTTAGCCAAAATATTGGGAATGGGAATTAGAGGAGAAAAAAAACATTAACACCTAATATACTACACTGTGCCCAGCCCAGTACTAGGCACATACACTAGCTCTTTTTAACCTTTATGCCACCCTTTGAGAACTGTGGTGATGTTCTCATTTTGTGGTTTAGGAACTGAGGCTCAAAGAAGGCATATAATGTTCCCAGGGTCACAGTGTAAAGTTAGATGTTAAAGCCCAGATTGTTTGATATAAAAATCTGTGTTTGTTCTACAAAATGTAGTAGAATCAATCTTGACCTATATAAATAGTAGATATATTTTATGATGAAACTTCTCCACATAAAGTCAATTTTAGAGGTGAATTACAGTAAAACTTTCAGGATAAGCATTGTTCCTTTCAGTAATAGCATGACAATTCAAATATCAACTGTAGATATCTTTAAGAACCATAGATAGTACTAGAAATGTGAAAAACAAAAAAACTACTATATAGTTTGGAGTTAGTAACTATGGGCCTTTTGTTAAAATAAATATATTAAATTATTTTATCTGGTGTAGTAGGAGAAATGTAGTGTTCTACTTTAAGAAATATTGTTAATATTCTGACTGACATCTTATTAGGCTACAATGAGCTGCCTTTGACACAACTGAGAAATAAAGTATTTAGAAGGCACACCACAGAGATGTTGTCATAACTTAGGTCTTCAATGGGAACATTAATTTTTTATTGTACCTTATGTCAGATATCAGCTCACTGAATATTATTTTTATATTAATTTGACTTTGGCTTAAGTGTGTTGTTAAATTCAAACACAAACAGCTTCGTTGTTATTGTGTTAATAATTGTTAATTACTGTTCTAGCCATTTTATTAGTTTTGTAAATTTATTTTCAACCTCTACTCTCTATCTGCCAAAGTTCTAACTCCTATACAATCCTCACTAACTATACATAGGAAAAAACTGCTCCCACTTTATATGATTTTACTAAATTATTTTTAAATTCAATTTTGAATATTAATCTAGTTTATTTAGGAAATCTTGACAACTGAACAAAACAACATTTTTAAATAAATATATGAGAAACAGCAATTCTATTTCCAAAGTCTCCAAATGTCCCCTGCCTGTGTTGGCTGAATTTTTGCTATCTTGGATTAATTTTCGTATACCACAGTTATCAGATTCAAATTCTGTTCAATTTTGTTTTTAAATGTCTTAGTCTCTTTTGTTTGGTTTCTATTACTATATTTTTGATAGTAAGCCTCAGATAATGAAATTTTATTCTCACATATAGAAAATCTCTAAAAGTATCTAATTACTCTTCACAAGGCTAAAATTTTTTTAAAAGAAACATTAAATTACATATTTCTTTAGATTTAGTAAACTATAGCCATGTGTGACATTAAAAATAACTTTTCTTAAAGCAATTAACAAAATGTTTGGAAATTTTATTTAACAATAATTTTATTTAGCAAGAATATTTTGGATAAAGGAAAACCTTAATACCACTTATTAAATCCTGCATGGGAGGAAGAAAACAGGAAAAATAATTACCATATAAAGATCTATAACTTGAGCTGCAGTGATGACTTCTGTTTTACTAGAAAAAATATGTAATATGAGCTTATCAAAAAGAAAGAAAAGATGGTCTATGGATGCATTTTTACATCAATGCATAATAAATGGTTACCAATGAACATTTAACTTTTAGTCTTTTAGTGCTATTGTTATAAAATTGAGAAATTTTGTCATTAGCTTAGGAAATGATGGAAAGGTTGGCTCTTATACAATGTGAAATATTATTATTAGTCTCCAAACTTTCTTTTGACATGTACTTTTTAAATTGTTCAGCTTTCAACCTACCTACATTTCACTCCCCACCAGTGTACTCAAACTGAATTCAGGCTTACCGTGTAATTCTAGTCAATACCATGATGCCTACTTGGTG